TCTCGACATATCACACGCGAGTAGAAGTCTCTTTGTTTCCCAGCCGTTTCTTGAACGATGCTTTCTTCTCTTTAACTGCGAGTTGTACCTCTCGTGTCCACCATGAAGATGTTTTCTGACCTCCAGGCGGTAGGCCAACCCGTTTAAATCAGCAGCATTCGGAGGCAACCTCGAGTATGCCGCTCTTAAAGAGCTGCCACTCGGTTTCAACATCAGTTGCCATGACCGGGATCTGTTCAAACCGTCGTGCGATGTTGTTTGCAAATTTCGCTCTCGTGTCCACTGAAGATACTGTTTCCCATTTGATCCTCCGGTTGCTTCTGCCACCAGATGTTCGTATGGTACTCCATTTCATACAGCGCAGCGTGCGAACAACAGGGTGATGATGGGTTGATAGCTCTGCGCCTCTCTTAAGACGAACATCCTTAACTGAGCGTCTTAAGTGAGATAATACGATTATCAAATCGATCATCGACTTCTGTGCACAGGCTACCCGTTACTAGGTGTACTGATGCACTTTTCGTTGCTCGAAGGTGATCATAATGGACGAGTCCATTATGAACACCTTCTTCGAGCATCGAAAAAAGTCCACTATGAAAACCTTGTTCGAGCATGGAGTCGCGGGCGACGAGTTAAAAAAACTGATCCAGGGTAGAAGCGGTTAAAATGGCCTCGCCCTTCTTGCATGGTTCGAAAGAACCTCGGTGTACATGCGCTGCTTCAGCAGACTTTGAAGTCACAAGTGCGATGGTCTGGGCAAGTGCTGCAAATGCTTAGAGAATATTAGGGGAAGCATCTAGAAGTTGTTTGAATGGGCGGCCGAAGTCCCTTGGAACAGTCAAGAATGACCTAGAGCAAGTGTCTCTTCAGGCTATGCTCTAGAGTCAGGTTATCACCTGTGAAGCTCAAATGTTGGCACAAGAAAAAATTCGACATTGTCTGACACGTCTGCACCTGTGACCCTAGAGAATGAGTGGTCACTGAAACTGCCTGACGGCGAAATGGAACTGCATATTTGGGATGCTTTGCTGAACCAATCATAAATGTAGCCCTCCGCAACTCAACTGGACTGGTCGAAATTTTGTAGTAAAATTCATATCTACTGTGTGACAGACACTCAATGTGCATTTCTAGTCTTAACTTTAGTACGGATTCTTTAGGATAATGCCACTGAAAGACTGCCTTCAAAACGTCTGCGAATAACGTGAACAATTCGTTAGTCCCATTCTGGCCACGTGATACAGTAGCTGAAAGTATCATCACACTTATTAGTGCTTTCTCGTATACTAGCTCGTATTGATTTCCCTTCGTTTAGGTTTTTTAATTTAAAATTTTTTAAAAATGGAGCTATGAGCTGCGTGGATGAAGCTTGCTAGACTTGCAGACTTTATAAGCAGAAATCTGACTTTTGATAAACCATGGACGGCGTCATACAATTCAAAGAGCCACTAAACAGAAATTAAATTGCTAACGGCATGAGATGTATAGAAAATCCAAAATGAGATTATTCAGTAACTTGCCTTCTGTATCGAGGTCAACAGCGAGATTCTGGAAGATGTCCATGTGAGCAGTATGCGCGATTGTGGTAATATTCGGTCGTTGATCTTTACTCTGAATAGCCTGAATCGCTTGAATTCCAACGTACAGAACGACCGCATTCATCAGTGGAAAGTCGTATTTGCGGCCAGGTTCGTTCGAATATTGTAGCTTGCTGCGAAGTTCAGAGAGGAAGTTGACTGGCGCACGGTTCTTCAAGTACGCATCCAAATCGTTCTTCAGAGACAGCGGCTGGATGCACTGCGCAAGGTTGACGTTAATTCTTGGCGATGAACTGATTTCGGCCAACTGGTCCACCTGCAAGCTCGGCAAGAACGGGTCCGGAAGACGCATGTTGCGAGGATATGCCGACAACACGAGGTTACGCAACTGGACACAGTTTGGAGGAATCGTTTCGCACAAGGCATAGTGATAATCACACAGAAGCTCCGGAAAATCATGCAGCAATACAAGCAGTATACGCAAGGTACCTTTGTAAACGAGTGTCACTGGTTTTTGGAATTCCAAGTTTCGCAGAAATGGTGACAGAAAATGTAGATGATCAAGTACCAACTGCGCATACAAACTCCAGGCCTTTGGTGGCTGGATAAACAACAGACGATTCAAGAAAGTACGATGACCAATGATGTCCATCCATGAATATGTAAAACATGGAGCTTTCCTTGGACGAAGAAGATGCAAAACATTGCTAGAAATAGAAAGTATATCAGGCAAACCTCGAAAAACTAAACAACGTCAATCGTTGAAAATCCCAATCTGTCTGCATTCGCGCGCTTGCACATCGGAGTAGATGAAAGTTCCCGCATCAACAGATAAATCCTTTTCGACTGATAGAGTAAATCTAATATGAGGCAGGCGATATACTATAACGAGTTGTTGATATTGATACTCCCAAGATAAGTTAAAAGCAAAGTTAATGGCAGAAACCGGTACTGAACAGGACGAACCTAACGTTGCGTTGAATGGGTTGCGTCAGTAGCCAAAACATGCATGGAACAGAGCTCTTCACAGAGTGGTGATGATGTGACCACCAAAAATCTTGCTAATTTCCGAAGTCATATACCGGCGTGGAAGCTTGAAGCTGCGGGTGGGAACAAAAGAATGAATATAATCCTTTATATCAGCTGTTAATCATACTTAGTTTATATCGGCTACAAGCAAGCACATAACGATTTAGCGCTCCAGAAGGATGGTTTAAGCTGGTCGTCGAAATAAAAAAAATCTGTCACTGAATGAACATGACTTATGAACTGACAGAGCCTGATCGTATAAAAATAACTGCAGATAAAAGATGGTCATGGGTGACAACGCCTCACAGATGATTCCCAGTATCTGACTTGACTGGTATTAAAGCAATGCTGTCGCTTGGTCCATGAGCGAAATAGCTTGATGGAAAAGAAGGATGTCGTAATTGGCCACAGCGCAAAGCAATAGAAACGCGCCCGATAGAGTTCCACGAGTTGCGATACCACACCATATTCAAACCTCTATTTGTATTTCTTAAGCAGTAAATGAGCGAATTCTATGCCTTACGGCGATCGCTCTCGTGTATCAACAGCACACTGCTGATATCCGACTTGAAGTTGCAGCTGTCACACAACAAAAATAGATATTCAACTCAATAACGTAATGTAATTCGTGAAGGGAATCTCAAAATCAATACTGCCGATAACCGACAAAAATCCCGGTAAACATCGTTAGAACAGTGTATGTTAGAATAGTCTATGCGCTCCATTTATCGTGCCTCGTAATACTGGTCAGTACGTTGCCTGAAACAGTAATAACGCTCCAACACGGTCTTCAACAAAAGTGGCAAAATGAATTTGAGAGCAATCTAATAAAACAAACATGATCATCCATTTCGTAAAGAAAATCCATTTGTGGACCTAGATTGCCTCAACTGGCCTATATTGAACCGAATTCAAAACGGCCGAGGCCGCTACAACTACGAATATCAAAACATGGATCAAAGTATAACAGAAATCACCTCCACTGTACTAAACACCACCCCGATCCCTAGAAGGGACCGAAAAGACGCTGACAAGTCATGACCTAGTGGGACACTGTCAGAACTGAGAGAAGTCTTTATTGGGCAGGGAGTGCACGAGTACAAACGGTGGAAAAATAACTACCTGAACCTGGTAGCAGACTGCGCGTGATCGACTGACGTGGAAGGCAGCGATCAGAGAACCGATTGGAGCTGGCGATGTCAGTGATGGTGAGAGCCATAACAAGAAAACGAAACAACAACGATGGCTTATCAAAAGCAGCGACTCCATATTACTGATACCTGAATGCGTGGAAGAAAATAAAAATAAACAACCATAGCTATTAATCGACTTAAACAAAAACATTTGCCAAAAAACTGCGAGTAACGCTAGTGGTGAACAGCACAAAAGGCAGAAACTGAAACCTGTAAAGCAGAATTTGGGTCGCTTGGAAACCACCGAAATATTCCAAAATAATGTCACAAAGCAAATAAGAAACGAAATCTCGTCTTAGAGCCTCGACGCAAATGAAATGTCGCTAACCTCATCCCTGTGTTGAAAAAAATCCATGATATACGGACCAAAACAGAGGTAACAGTCACCTGATGAAGTGACCCTTGCATCATGTTAGTTAAACCGATTTTATACTGTTTCAGTATGCTGCCAATGCATGACCAAGATAATCTATCTTCGGTTATGAAAAGATTTTAGTTTAAGTAGCTGTACGATAACAAAGAGAGATGATCATCACAGAAAGGTGCATAGCAACAGGCAAGTTTTTCAATTATATCGTGAAGACGTTTAACGCAACGCACTTAACGCACGACAAGAAATTTAGGCGAATAAAAGTGCATACCAAAACGTGCTTAAAATCTGATAGTTGATCGGATCCAACAGGGGATCAGATGCTCCTGTAAGTTCTATGAAAAGCATCAGCAGGATACGATGAAATGGCAACGGATGAAAATCTGTTCTTCTTACATCTTGGTCAAGCAGCAGGACACCCGTGATGATACCCAACACCTACAGAAATGAGGGATTGACGATAACTCGAAGGCCATGCCGAGCACGTGCGCATCGTATTTTGAGATACCTTGTTAAGCAAGTTCAGCTTTGTCAAGTAGATACCTTCTCCAGAATTTCTGACAAGCAGGGCTATAAGGTGAACGTAAGCGTCGAGTGTGTGGAAGCAGCGCGTTCTGCAGATGGTCAGGTTCAGGCTGCTGTCAGATAGAAATCGGTGGCATAGGTCAACGCACATTTCAGTGCAGTTGCGGAAGAAGCGTGTGATCATGTCGTCTGATTTCAAAATTCCGTTTTGGTGCATCTAAATTGAAGATTTTGTTAAACGCAAAGAAGCGCTTCGAACAAACAAAAGATTCGTACCTGAGTGACAAACGCAGCGAAAGCCTTCGCCTGATCTCGCTGGGCTGCCGGTGAGTGAAACATGCCGACCCAATCGCGTAACAATGCCTCGGCCTTTTCGTGCAGTCCCGGAGGATCGTCGCCACAAAACTCTCGTGCGTGATTTATTCCCGCTTCCAAATGCGCAAGATATTGCGCTCGCGCCAAACCAATTGACGAAGTGTTGCTGTAGTTGGCAGCTTGAGA